AGCAAGGGCACCTACATGAGAACACTGTAATCAGCAAGCTCATAAGAAAAAGATTTCTTACCTGCTCCTTTCACAACAACCAACCCTTCCTTAATCCCTGAGTCACATTTCTGGAGTCCTTCAAATTATCCTGACTCAGGCACATTTATCATCCCAGGCTTATGTGCCTACCAGCTTACTACCTTAGAGTTGCCATAATTAGGTAAGTCATAAAGCCTGCATGTTTCAACTTGTTTAGGAAACTACTTTCTTGACCAAAATTTTTAAATCTCCAAAGGAATTTTTTAAATATCATTCCTTTATCAAATAATCTTCCCTTTCTCTGTGCTTCCCCAGCATATATTTTCGATACTTCTCCTAAAATCAGTTTCCATATTGTGGTACTTCTCGTTTCATTGTCTGATAAATCATGCACAAATTATTCTGTGTTTACTCCCTCTTCTCCACTATCCTGCAAGCTGCTTTAAGGTCAGAGGTGAAGCCACATACTAATCTGGATACTCAACATCAACTATCACATTATCTCTTGTGAAATAAGCAGGTATTCAAAGATGGTTTGATGGTCTGTGCAGGGGCTGGGCAAGCTACATAAATGCATGAAGTAGGCCCAGGGCCTGCAGTACAGTATGGCCTGATGGATACTGCTGCAAACTGGAGAATCTGTGCACCATAGGGAGCAGCAGTTGCCACTCAGCCCTACCCTGTAGTTCGTCAAGCAAGGCTGCAAGCCTAATGTTGCCAATTTTCTAATTTTTCAAAAGAAACCAGAAATTCGGATTTTTATGAGTTCACCAACTTTTCAAATGTTTGCTAAAAAAAAAAAAACCTGTGAACCCTGTGTGGGCTAAAGAACCCCATCTGTAAGCCAAATTTGCCCTGAAGGCCATCAGTTTTCAACTTCACACTGTGTGATGGCAGCCTTCTCCTGGGCCTCTGATACCTTCTGCCTCATTCACTAGTTTCTCTTCCTCCTCCTATCCCTCATTTGTGGAAATGAACTTTCTTGATATTCCTTCTGGATGTGCTTCCTCTCTCTCTCCTCTGAACCAGCATAGCACTTTGCTTACAGCCTTCTATTGTTCTTACCTATGTTGTCTTGTACCACAGTTATCTATGTATATTCTATGCCTCCCAAAAGAAAGTAAGTTCCCTAAGTCACTTATTATAACAATAACATTATTGCTTTAGTTTTGTTCATACATTGTGCTAAGTACTTTTCATATATTAACTCATTTATACTTTATAAGAACCCTAAGGAATAATATTATCATTACTATTTTATAGATGAGGAAACTGGGGGTTAGAGTGCTTCTAATTAATGCCCAAGTCCTCAGAACTAGTAAGTGGAAGAGCCAGAACTTGAAGCGAGGCTCTCTGACTCCACGGTCCTATACATGCCTGGTTCGTTTTCAGTGTCCTGAAATTCCTTGCACACAGTGAGCACATGATTAATATTTACTGAATTGATTGTTGAAAACGGAAATTTATATTCTACTTAAAAGACATTCTTTCTTTAAGGAGTATGGAGAAAAATTACTTGTGAGTTAATGGTTTGCAGACAGGTTAAAAATAAAAATAACATGACTCTGCATTATAAATATTTGTGGTTCAGCAATAGATTGGAGGCCATTTGTCAACCGAATAGACATGTGGGGTTTATCCGAGATACTTTTCAGTGTATTATTTAAAAAGGATTCCAACCCAAAAATAATATTCATAAAATAATTTGCTATGTTAACATTTCTGGCTTGAAAAGTCAATGTGCAATGCTGGTTTTAGTTAGAAAAGAGGAAATGCCAACAGGAAATTGAACAAAAGCTCAAAAGATATTCTTTTTTGCATGCAAGAAGCATTAATTATTTCTTTTCAGTAACTATGATGTTACATTTCTGTTTCTGCACCCAATGGGAGTCCCAAAATGCAGTGCTCTCTTTTCTCTCTGAATATACGTTGTTTCACGTAAAAATATATAATATCAGTATGTAACAACTAAGTAATGTGCTGGTTTTCTCTTTATGATTTTTTGAATATTTTACCTGAAATGTAAATGTGAATTCTGAAAATGTGATTTAGACTACAGTGAGAGAATCTGTTGTGCTTTATTTGAAGTCCTAATGGCTAAACAAATCTTTAAATTCTCAGTCTCTCAAGAATAACATTTGACAGTCACAAAAAAGGACATTTTCTATCTTCAGAACCATTATTCAGCTTTAAGATCTCAGATACACTTGAAAACTAACAACAATAACAACAACAAAAATTAGCGGTAACATAAAAAGAACAAAGAATGTCCCTGAACAATTTTATTCCCCAATCCTGACTTCCTCCTTTTGGGAAATGGCACCCAGTAACATAAATAAACTAACAACATAACTAGTGTCAAAGCCCTGGGATATATTTGGGTGGGGACAGAGATTCCAATTCTCTGTTTTCCATTAACTCTGATTCCAATCCAGAAAACAGTGGTTTCCACTACCACCATATTGCTGTGTAAAGGGCTAAGAGGCAGCAGTGCCTGGCCCTAAGGAACACAATCTAAGGAAACTGAGATGGCCCCGCAAAGGTTGTGTCACGATCAGACTTTCTTTGGAACACCTTGACACTGCTCCTTCCCCTGAAGTAGTTTCACCTGGCCCAAAGCCAGATTCCTAATCTTCAACTGACAGTTTGGAGAAAAGACTCACTATAGGGCAGAATTATCACCTATAGACTACTGATATTTAAATCTTTTTAAGAGATCAGAAAAATCACATGCATCTAAAATATTAAAGAAAATGAATCTGACATAAATCATAGCAATATATTTTCTTAGATCAGTCTCCCAAGGCAAATAATAATAATAATAAAAGCAAAAATAAACAACTTCAACCTAATCAAACTTACAAGCTTTTGCAAAGCAAAGGAAATCATGAATAAAACAAAAAGACAATCTGTAGAATGGAAAAAAATATATGGAAATGATGAGACTGACAGGGATTAATTTCCAAAACAGCTCATACAACTCAATATCAAAAAGACAAACAATCCAATAAAAAAAATGGGCAGAAGACCTAAATAGAAATTTATCCAAATAAGACTTACAGATGGCCAACAGGCACATGAAAAGATGCTCAACATCCCTAATTATTAGAGACATGCGAATCAAAATCACCTCATACCAGTATCACCACGAGGTACACCTTGTATCAGTCAGAATGGCTATCATCAAAAAGTCTGCAAATAATAAATACTGGAGTCAGTGTGGAGAAAAGGGAACTCTCCAACCCTGCTGGTGGGAATGTAAATTGGTGCAGCCACTATAGAGAACACTATAGAGGTTTCATAAAAAACTAAAAATAGAGCTGCCATATGATCCAGCAATCCTACTCTTAGGCATTTATCCAGAAAAGATGGAAACTCTTATTTCAAAAAGATACATGCACCCCAATGTTCACAGTAGCACTATATACAATAGCCAAGACATGGAAACAATACAAATGCCCATCACAGACATTTAAGAAGCCGGGGGTGTGTGTAATGTGTGTGTGTATGTGTGTATATATATATATATATATATATATACTATATATAGTACTAGTACTACTATACTACTCTACTACTACTAACTAACAACTAA